TCAATTGAATAAGCTTGATTGCGATAGCTAGAAAAGGGAACTTGACTTCTTACTACTGCTGAAGGAGAACCGTTGTAATGAAAGAAAAAATGATTGATGTAATTCATTTAACTTTTAATTAAACTCTTTAGCCCGCACACTCTCCAATTTGGTGCCTATCAAACCAGTTACTTGGTGAAGTAGAAATGAGTGGTTTTCCATGCAGGGTTGGTGGTTTTAAAAAGAAGCGTTGATGATAACTCAGGAAATAGGACACTCATATTGGTATAATTTCTAGATAAGCCTCAAACTCCAGGAACCAAGAAATAGAATTTTGTTCTAACAAAGTTCTTACATGCTTATGGTCCACATTACATCCACTGTTTTTCAAAAATACAGTTGTCCCTTGGTATCAGCAGGCGATTGGTTCCAGGACCCCCGTGGATACCAAAATCTACGGATGCTCAAGTCCCTTATGTATGAAGTGACATAGTATTTGCATATAACTTCTGCACATCCTCCTGTATACTTTAAATCATCTCTAGATTACGTATATACTTAATACAATTTAAATGTTATGTAAATAGTTGTTATTTTGTATTTTTTATTTGTATTTTTTAAATTGTATTGCTATTTTTTTTTTCTTCAAATATTTTTGATTCACAGTTGGTTGAATCTGCGGATACAGAAGCCACAATTATGGTGGACTGACTGTAGATGCACAGGACTACTCTTTTCTTGATCCTTCTGGGAATAACCGTCTCTTTGGAGACAAACAACCTCACTAAGGAGCCCCATGCACTCCTCCTTAAAAAAAAAAAAAAAAAAAAACCAAAAAAATAAAATTTTCTTTATTTTAAGAACTCTTACTTGAAACAGAAGCCAGTTTTTAGAGTTGAACATTGTAGGAACAAATGACATGTGTTTTTGCTTTTTGCAAATGGCTAAAGCCAGTTAGTACTTGTGATGTGTGCGTTTGACACTGGCTGGGCTTATTGCTCTTAAGAGCATGGTGCTTCTAGGAAACTGGAGAGAATTGTTTATCATGTTAGGAACTGGACATAGGCCTGTTCAAAATATAATAGCTTAAAGCCACCTTTATGGTTACTACTGATGGAATATACCAGTGGGAGAGGTAGAGAAGAAAGGAAGAACACAGTTTGTGAGTACAAGTAAAATGAAGGTTGGAGTATACTTTCAGATCTTGCCCAAATGTATTCATTCCACTTGTTGCTTTTTATTTTCAAGTTCTTTATTTGGAACTGGCCAGGACTTTCATAACTCTGTTGGTATTTGTAATTTTAGCAGCCTCTAGTATTTTTCAGAGCACTGCCGTACAAACATGTTTGACTATAATCTACAGTAAGAAATACATTTTGCACAATCACCTAATACATGATATGTGTATCTGGTGTTTTCCATTTTAATTTTTTCATTTAAATGACACATTAAATACTTTTCACATCCCATTAATGGGTCAAAACCCATAGTGTGAAAGCAGAACTAGAATCCAGTATTGCTGCGTTATTCCATTTTCATTTTTTCTCATTCTTTCCTCCTCCTCTAGACCTAGCAGCTGAAGATGTGTTTCTTATTTTGCAGGGGCAATTATAGTTTCAAATTGTTCTTTAAAACCTGGAGTGGGGCCGAGCCCGTGGCGCACTCGGGAGAGTGCGGTGCTGGGAGCACAGCGACGCTCCTGCTGCGGGTTCGGATCCTATATAGGGATGGCCAGTACGCTCACTGGCTGAGCACGGTGCGGCCGGTCTCAAAAAGGACAAAAAAACAAAACAAACAAAAAAAAAACACCTGGAGTGAACCTAAAGTGCTCATCAACCCTACTGTGGTATCATTTACTAAGTACTTTCAGTATATAGTTTTCTGTCTGGCATTCTCACTTCTGTCTTTCACAGCCCCGACTTTTCATACTAAAGTACAAGAGAAAACTGTTTTTAAAAATTCTTGAAATGATAATTAGCTTCTACTTGTAGGAAATAATTGAAGTAGGACTTTTACTCTTTTTGAAAACATAGCTGGCTAAACTGCTGCAATTTAAAGGTTATAGAATATTACTATTAACTTATTGAAATGGAGCATAAGAAGTACAAACATACTTTTAAATGTGCTTAGAAATATAGAAGTTTCTTAAAGCAGCTTGTATTTATTAAAAGAAGAATACAAAATACCTTGCAATTCAAAGATTATCTATTGCAATGTTTATGCTATAATAGGTTAGTCCTAAAGAAAAAAGTTCATTGTTCCAAGGTAGGTGACAAAACTTTTAAGTCAGAATTATACATCTAGTTTGATGCAGACAGTTTATTCAAGCTTGGAGGCTTCAATATGTTCCTCCAAGTTTTCAACCATTAACATTCCAAACCGATTGCTTCCCTCATACCAACACCTGGTATCTAAGGTGGTTCCCACTCTGTTCTTCAACCAGCTGGAACTCTTTTTCTTTTGCCTTCTTTTTTTTGAATTTGTTTTACCCTTTGGTAGGAATAATTCAGTAGGGGCGTATGACCTGGTGGCATTGAAAAGATGTTCATAAAGTTGCTGAGCCTCAGGACACATGCTCAGAAGACTTTCCACAGAGGTCAGTGCTAACAGTTGTTGGCACAGTCCATGCACCAGGCTTCCACTGTACAACCTGTTTAATGGGAGAAAAATGTGTGTTGGAAAAGCACTGGTTCAGTGCAGTAGAACAGCTGTTATTAACATGCCTTCAACAAATGCATCTAAACACTGACAGCTCTACTGCTTCTATAAACTTCTTATTAAAATCAGGAATAATCTGTTTCTTGGAAAGACCTGAGTTGTAACTATAGTGATTACTTCTTGGCTGGTGATATTTAAAAGCTTTTTATTAACAAATTAAATGATAGACACTTACTGGCTTTGCATCTAGCCCCAAGGTGAGCAGGCCTCTTTAACACTTCAAAGAAAAGGAATTTAAAATGACCTTGATAAGCCAAACAGGCAGTTTGTTAAAATATGAAAAAATTTAATGACATCATTTGCAAGGTCACTCAGTTGGACTAAAAACCTACTTTACAAATATAAAATGGGATTACCTGGAATCCACAAATTTACTATATATGACTTAGAGCCAGAGCTGATCAACTGGTGCCTTAGCAAATCAGTGGAGAACCATCACTTAATCAGTATAAAATCATTTTTAAAAAAGCCTTGATTACGCTGAGATGCAAGAACAGTCCTCCTGCTGAAATCATTATTAAGAGAACTGATTCCTGTTTTGTTTTAAAGTTATTTGTGGTAACTAGAGAGGACCCAGTCAAGACTGATCTAAGTTATTAAAGGAAAGGAACAGAGAATCTATAGGTCAAAGGCCAATTAATCTTAATTGGTAGAGGTTTTTGGGTTAGCTCAGATATGAAGCCCAGAGATAACTTAACACTAATTACTGCTAGGAGGCTTTTCACCTTGAAACATATTTAAAGTCCCAACATATTTTGAATGCCTCCATATATCACTTACTCAAAATTTGCTAGGCACTAGGGCTACAACAATAAATAAAATGGACAAGTCCCTGCCCTCACAGATCTTACATTCCAGGAGAGAGAGACAAACGAAGCATATATATAGTCTTACATGCTCAATTTTCTAACCATCTTTTTATCTTCCTCTCTCTAGTGCCTCCTGGACGGATAGTTACCAAGATGTCCAATCCTTTGATCCTACCACTTTTTCACTAGCCCACAGCATACCGCTATCATTTCTTTCTTTCAGAGTAAACTCCACAGTCAAACATTATAATCACTCCTTGGCACACAGGCTCAACTCCCTTACTGCCTTTCCCTTCTTCATACTTGCCTGGCAAAACAAAAACCCTAACGTCCACTATTATCCATCTAATAGTCATCTCAATAGAATGAAAGCTCCATGATAGCAGAGGTGGTGGTGGTTGTTTACTACATCCTAGCACAGAGTAGGCATTTAATAAATATGAGGGTACTTCAAAAAGTTCATGGAATGATCCATATTACCTTTTAACTGTATTTTTCCACAAACTTTTTGAAGTACCCTGATATTTGAATGAATGAGTGAATAGTATGCCAGGTGGTAAGAAATGCAATAACAGGGCCGGCCCGGTGGCGCACTGCGCTAGTGCGCCGCTTGGGAAGCGCGGAGGCGCTCCCACCGAGGGTTCGGATCCCACATACAGACCGGTTCCCACTCACTGGCTGAGCGAGGCGCGGGGGCAACACCGAGGGTTGCGATCCCGTTGCCGGTCCCGGTC